GCGGCGCACTGACTGACTGGATCAGCTGAGGAAGCCAGGTAAGAGTCCAGGTGAGGGCGCGGCCATGTTGTCCGGCCCCCTTCTCTCCACCAATCACAGCTCGGGCTCGGGTGACGTCACCAGCACAGTACACAGGGGGGCGGGGCCGCCCCGCCCCCCATTCATACACACACGAGTAGAGCGCTCTGTGATAGAGATCAGACCAGCTCTATCTGCACCATTATTTGTTTACTTTTTAACGTTTTAATGGAACTAACCCACTTTGCATTCTAAGGGTTTATTATGACTAAAAAAAAAAAAAACCCACCGAATAGGGATGGAGGCTCATCAGGTGAGTAAATCAACATTTGATACTGCATTTAAGGTCGACGTATTCATCGTTCACTCATCCCAGTAGGATAAACCACATATGCAGCTCTATTACTGTAAACCATTATGATCCTTAAGGGTCATTAGCCTAAGAACCATAACTAGGAGGCTTATGCAGGCACCTCTGCCTGCCTGAGACAGGCCCGGAGGGGTTTAACCTGTATGGAAGGCAGTTAGGAAATAATTATGATATGCTAATTATATACTGTCTACCTATAGACAAAGACGGGCTGACTTGATGGGATCCTAAACTATTTGTTGGAGAGGTTGATGGGCTGTAGGTAGGTAGGGGTGTGACTGGGGTGGGGGGAGGGTGTAGCAGGGGGTATGGGAGTGTATGGGGGTGTATGGGGGGGGTAACTGGTGTGTGTGTGTGTTTGTATGTGTATGGGAGACAGGGTTGTGTGTGTATGAGTGGCTAATGCATATGGGAGTGGTTAGTGGGACGAGGGGTTGTTATGTATGTTATGTGGGAGAGGGGTTATGTATGTATGTATGTATGTATGTATGTATGTATGTATGTATGTATGTATGTATGTATGTATGTATGTATGTATGTATGTATGTATATATATATATATATATATATATATATATATATATATATATATATATATATATACTTCATATATAATGATTTGTTAACAGGGACCAAGTACAAGTGTCCTCCGTACGAGATCATTCTGGCGTCTAAGATCATCTCAAGTCTCTCTCTCTCTCTACCTAAAGAGTCATGTAGCCTAGAGCGTCAAGTTATATGTCGCATGTGCATGTATTATATGTAAGAGAGAGGAGTTGTAATGTGTGTGTGTGTGGCAGAGAGAGAGAGAGAGTAGTGGTGTGTACTCTCTCATTGACATGGGACACACATAGACTCCCACTACAGCCTACACGTTCCAGTGATCGCTGCAGCGGGAGTTAGAAGTAAAAAAAAATTCAAGTTCAAGTTTGTTTATTGAGATAAAAAAGTAATACATCTCAGAGGGATAGAGTAGCTTAGGCTATTTCTACCCCTCACCCGTAAAAATGGTTTACCTTGAGGTGAGCATCTTCACTTTGCTCTTGTAGATGGGAGAATATAACTTGGGGAAGGGGGAGTTAAATTAAGAGTGTTGACAGAAGCTTGGTTGAGTTGGTGTGTGTGTGTGTGTGTGTGTGTGTGTGTGTGTGTGTGTGTGTGTGTGTGTGTGTGTGTGTGTGTGTGTGTGTGTGTGTGTGTGTAGTAGGGATTGATACCGACGGCTCGTCTTCTGTCTGTCGACAGATAAAAGGCGATATATATATATATATATATATATATATATATATATATATATATATATATATATATATATATATATATATATATATATATATATATATATATATATATATATATATATATATATATCCTCATAGCCATTTCCAAGTGCTATGTAGTCGTAATGGCTTATTAGTGCTTTCTCGTGATAATTTCCTTACTCTGGTACAACATTCAATTTCACTATGATACCCTACATAACAATGACTTTTAATTACGGAAGTTTAATTCATTAACAATAACTTTTTAATGAGTAAGGATGTAAGGATGTAAGGATGTAAGGATTTAAGTAAGGATGAGTCACAATAACGGGGCTGAAGATATGATGGCCAAAATCACACGTCAGAAGATGGTGAAACAGACGACGTTTCGGTCCATCCTGGACCATAATCAAGTCTTAAAAATGGTCCAGGACGGACCGAAACGTCGTCGTCTCTCCATCTTCTTATGTGTAGTTTGGTCATAATATTTGTGAGGATTTAAATCTGTGACCTGAAATTTCTGATACCAAAAAGTCTGTCCTCAAATCTAAAATAATATGCTGTACACTTTCTGTAATTCAGTAAGATCTCACCAAGTTTCTGTGGTTGCAACATGAGAAAAGATAATGCTGTGAATTAGGATGAATAAGAATGCTGCTACGCCCCAAAAGAGTTTTACGCAGCATTGCCTATGCTAAGCTACTCAAGCAGGTTACAGGAGATTATTAACAGGTGGTTCATTGACTCAACAATTGCAACATCTAACCTTCTGTGTGTGTATGACGTTTCCTCCTGTTCATGGTATCATCAAGCATTAATACCAGCAAGACCATCGCGTTGTTTGTGCTGCTACAATGCGCACCGTAATTAGGCGACAGCTCCAATTCGCTTGGAGACGATTCCACCCAGCTAGTCTGAGAGACTTGGCGAGTGTTTAGTTACATATCCCATTCCTAGATGGCTCTGGCGATCGACCGCTGTATTATACAATATATATATATATATTTATACGGAGAGCTTTTGTTTCCAGGAAGGGTAATATACCCAGATAGGTGTACTCCGCTTTTCAGAGTATACACAGTGAAAGTTTACCTTAATCCTGGGACTATGTTCTGAACTAAAGTTGGTCAGCGAGGAACTGTGGTGTCCCCCAAGAAGGTGACAGGTCTCAAGCCTGACACGGAACTTAGTTTCCTTTCTGGGCCTTAGTAAACAGAAGTACACCTAATCCCAACAAGGCCGTCATCATGCAGCCAATGACCGCACAGTGCGATAGGGTCTGCTGACAAACCTTAGGAATTGCAAGCACTTGCAGAAATTTGAAGACATTAGAGATAAAGTGGAATATATTAAAAGTAGTTAACTTGGAATATTATAAATGTTATGACATGCTGCTCTGAGCGGTATACAATTCGATGGCTCGCAAAACTACACTTTACAGTTTGATTTGGTAATTGGAACATATTTGATGCTTCCATAGTTGGTTCTGTTGGAAATCAATCAAGTAGCGGTAGAATCAAGTTCAAATGAATCAATGATTGTGGGGTACGTGGTTAAGTTAGGAGGTGGGGGGGGGGTTAGTCAATGCTAGTAGTGTGCTGACGTTCCTGCTGGGCGCTGTTAAGCTGTTCCAGTGGTCGTGGAGGGAGGGAACTACCTCTCTTGCCATTCCTTTTCCCCCGTCCCATCCCAAATTCTTATATCCTGATCCCCCCTTCCAGGTGCTATATAGTCATAATGACTTGGTGCTTTTCCCTATTCCATTCCCTTCTTGCCACGAAAAAACTAAATTGTCAGTGGTATAGGACTTTGACCAGTGGTGATACGTTAGTGGTGATCATTAATACACTCGTGAATGGGCACAATGCGGCGTGAACGGACCAGCTAAACGAAATATTTTTGTTTGACCAGCATAAATATTAGACCAGCAGGTGGATAACTGGACCGAAAACAACATAGTGCCCAAATTCAGTGACGACAAAGTTTGCCTAAAAAATTGGCTGTACATCGTTTCAGCCTGCCAGAACGTGCATGCAAGGACCGTGCAACGCAAGCAGGCCTTCCTGCTTGTACCACACCTTACTAAGGTACGTAGTAAATTTATTGTTTGGCATTTTATTTTATTTCCAATGTCGTGGAGGAAGAAATATACATTGGTTTATGCGTATGGTACATATTATCTTTTGCTTCCCTATCCATCAATCACTTGGGCTGGACGGTAGAGCGACGGTCTGGCTTCATGTAGGTTGGCGTTCAGTCCCCGACCGTGCACAAGTGGTTGGCCACCATTCCTTCTCTCCACCGTCCCATCCCAAATCCTTATCCTGACCCCTTCCCAGTGCTATATAGTGGTAATTGCTTGGCACTTTCCCCCTCATAGTTTCCTACCCTCTCCTTCACCACCTGCCTTACCCTGGTGAGGAGAACTGGCTTAAGGTTCTCCTGATAATTACTTTACCTCATTTTGTCCTGTTCAATAAAGTCTGGTAATTGTGAGGCGAAGGGTGTAAGGCAGTGTGGGTAAGTTAGCACTGGGAAGAGATGTGGGAACATGGAGACACGAGACTGTCCAAGACACGTGCCTGTAAGACACGAGACTGTCCAAGCTCATGGTAAATACTGTATGGTAAGGAACTGTAACGTCATTTGGACCCTTCACATCTCATTGACTCTCTCTCTCCCTCTCTCTCTCTCACACACACACATATTAGGAATGCATTAGGCAGTGATGTGGTGGAATCTCCATACACAGTTTCAAATGTAGATATGATGCAGCCCAGTAGGCTCGGGAATCTATACATCAGTTGATTGACTATTGAGAGGCGGGACCAACGAGCCAGAGCTCAACCCCCGCAGGCACAACTAGGTGAATACACACACCGTTTGTTTACGAAATAAAAAACACTTTTGGGACTATGTTTATTAAAACAAAAAACATTATATACATATCATAAATTAACAAATCAGTGTGTGAGTGAAGACTCCATAAATCTTTGGGCAAATATTTTCTCCCTGTGCAGGTGGTCAAAGACCTTGTCGGCCTTCAGCAAGTCTTCGGTCGCGCGGCACCTTCTGCCAAAGCGGCGGCGGAATGAGCCGGCGGCAATCCAGTTCTTTCCCTCTTTCCTAAACACCCAACTCTCGTAGGCCCAGTCCTCGAGGACGTGCACCTGACTGATGATATTATCTGCGAAGCGGACACACTTGGTTTTCTTCTGGTGGCGGCCATCGTCGCCGGAGACCTTTTCCTTCTCCATGGTAGGCTGCTTCACACTATCAAGAACCAGTAGAACACATCTTACGTCTGGTAATAATATACCAGATGCAAGAATGTCCTTATAGTTTCTCAG